AATGATATAATTTCACTTTTCTCCCTTCTCTTACCTTCAACCCAAACATATAATTAGTGAAAAAAGATAATTTTATAGAATCTAAAATAAATATTTATGAAAAATAATTTTAGGATAGAATCTTTCATAACATGACCAAATAAGATAATTTAAACAATACGATTTTGAAGATTGAAATTTTTTAGGGTATTGGTTGGACAAAATCCCTACCCTTTCATAGAAAAGTAAAAGAAATACAAAGATTTATACATAATGAAGTTTAATTATCGAAAAAAATTAATAATTGATAATTAATTTTATATATAATAAAATTCAATGAATGCATTTAATAAAATATAAAGTCATAAACAAAAAAAATATTAAAACTATATAAAATGCATGAGTAATGCACGAATAATACAAAAATAAATACGTTTGATGCATGACCTTAAATAATTAACTTTTGTTGTTGTTTTAGGCTTTATTTTCTTTTTTTCTTTTTTTTTTATCTTTGTTGCACAATGGAAGGCAATCATCTTCCATCCATTATCCCACCTCACCCGCATGTCATACGATTCAAATTTCGAATCTCTTACTTCTAACGGAAGGAAATGACCACTAAACTATTTAGTTTGTTGATTTTTCCTTTAAATTTATTATGAAGAAGAAGTAAAGCAAATTTGGGAGATGATGCAGGACTAGGAAAACCAAACTGGGGAATGGAAGCCTTCTATAATTAACAGGAATGGTGGGATTGCTTATGAAATGCAAATCTAGTATAGTTGTGATGGTAGTGATCGCCATGTTTTTTTATGGTGGAAATGCTATGATATCAATCGAAGTCCTTAGATGGGTGACTAATAATTTTGGTGAAGAGAATGTTTTAGGAAGAGGAGGAATTGGCGTTTTAAATAAAGGAGAATTGCCTGATGGCACAAAGATTGTTGTGAAGACGATGGAATCATCAAAACATGGGTAACAAGTGATGAATGAGTTGAAGGCTGAAATTGCAGTTCTAAGTAAGGTCAAGCATATTCATTTGGTTGCACTTTTAGTCTATTGCATAAATGACAATGATAGCATCGAGAGGCTCCTGGTACATGAGTATATGCCACAATGAACTGTTGGACAGCACTTTGGCAAAAATTTACTTTTAGTTTTTTATCTTAATAAATTTATAGGTTTTAAACCTTAATTTTATACTATAACACTTTTAGTCCCTTATATATTTGAATTGAAGAAAATAGCCAAGTTGACCTAACCATTAACATTAGTTCTGTCCCCACCACCGCCATATAAGTTAATTTATGCCAACTAAACATGACACTACGGTTTTTCATGGGTGGAGAAATTTAAATAAAAAAATGGTGATATAAGAATATTTTTTATAATATTTTTTTATATAATTTTTATATATTATTAAATAAATATATGTATCCAATGTCATATGTCTTAAATAAATAAATAAAAATTAATTATTTAAATAACACATAAAATTATATAAAAAAATAATACAAAAAATCTATCTTTAAATCAGTTTTCAATAAAAAAAAACAAAGTGGTTTAGTTTGGCCAAAAACTAAATATAAAAGAAACCAATGATGAGACAAATCTTCTTTACTTCTTTCATCAACAAGAGAATCTAGGGTTAAAAGCTCAAAGAATCTAATTGATTTTCACTGCAATCTCTGTTGGTGGACCACAAATTCAACATGTATTGTTTGTTGTTGACAGCTTGATTTGTCTTAGGGTTTGGCCTTCTCAATCGATGAACAACAACAAAAAAGCATGAATATTGTAAGAATTAATATAGATTAACCTGAATTAAATAGTAGTTAATGATTAATTAATCTGATTTTGTGTTTAATTTCATTGTTAAACTTTTGGGCTTTGATGGGTGTCAGTGAAATCGAAATACGAAAGTAAAATAGTTTTGTTTTATGTTTTAGTGTTTAATTCTTTCTTTCTTTTTTGTAAAATTGTTTTGTTGTAAAGTTAAGAATCTGCTATATGTTGGTTATTTTTTAAGTTGAATGGAATGGATATATATATACACATATAGCGGCTTCTTTTTTTTTTTTTTTTTGATCAGTGAAAAATTAGGGGATGAAAGGATAATTACAATACATATAGCGATCTTTAAAAATAAATGCTTAAAATAATGTTATTATTTCCTTAAAAATGTACTAAGCTTCTCAAGGGTGCTTCACTATCTTTTTTTTATTATATTATGTACTTTATTTAAATAATTGAGCCCCACTTTAAGATAAACGGGAAATCTTCCGCTTTTAAGAAGTCATGCCTAGATGCCAAGCTAACATAAATTAGCTTATGTGTTGGTGACAGACACGGAATTAACGAAATATTAACCATCAGGTTATATATGTTATAACTTAATATTAATTATAAGTTGAGATTAAAAATATTATAATATAAAATGAAAAATTAAAATTTATAAATTTTATAAATTTATTAAAATAAAACATTAAATGCAGCCTTTTGCCCAGCACTTTTAGTCCAAATTCGAGCCTTAGGTCCCTAGGCATTGTTTCTGGAACGAACGCGACCAATTCAGCCTCCCCCTTCTCCCCGCCCGTTCGTGCATTTAGTCAAGAATTATGTATAGGTTTGAGGAGGATTGAAAGTGAACTCCAAAAAAGTTTAAAAATATTTAAAA